ACAGAGCCATACAGAGGGTCTGAAATCAAGCATTTAACACAGGTTGTTGGCTCACAGTGATTACCTTCATATAAGCTGACCTCTGTATTTAAATCTATGTTTGATCTGAGCCTCCCTTGCTGTAACAGTATAACAAGGGAAAGCATAACAGCATGAATGGGGCTCACCTACAGGCAGACAATCCAGTATTTACTGCTTTACTGGATAGTTGAATAAGCTGGCTGACTAGTTGACTGAGTAGTGATCGAATACACTCCCTGCCAGCCTCACATTCTTGCTAACCGACTCACAAATTGACTACCTGCCAGACTGAATGACAAACAGATAGCCTGCCTTTTATTCCTGCCTGCTGGCTGCCCTTCCTTCATACCAGCAACACAATGAAGTTAACAGCCTGACAACACTGCATGTTATCTTCGTGTTAAAATCATCAGAAGGACAAATACCATGCAATGCACTGCTCACTGATTGCCCCTTCCCCCAACGGCACCGAGGTTGTTGCTCTCACAAAGAAATCAATATCTATAATGATTAAGCTTGACGTGGCATATTGGCAATTAAAGTCCGGCCAGGTTCACAAAGGAACAGAGACAATGCATGTCTTTTTCCTCTAACGTCAGCAGCTGAGTCTTGTGAGCGAGGAGGAGGCGGAGTTGACGGATGCGAGGCAGCTGAGCTGAAACATCAATCAAATGTGCATCCCACAGCCGACAAAGGCAGTTCCCAGAAACAGATCTTCAGCACATATAGTCTCAGCAATGTCTAAGACGCCGCTGCACATATGCACACGTGTGACTCAGTTTTATTTTTATTCCATTTATTCATTTTTTTGCTCTTTTATGATGGCACATTTGCATCACAGCCACCTTCGACATGACTCAGGTTTAATTTGAGGGATGCCACTGACAATGAAATATGGTCATTCACTCTTTATGACCAAGATAGGACATAAGGTGACAATCAGGAATCAATTACTAATCTAAAAGGCGATGGGAGTACAATGTGCTCTGCGCTGCTGCACCTGAAAGTGTCTGAGGGGATTTCCCAACAAATAAAGGCCATCAAAGCTGCCATATCAAGAAATGTCATGTTTCTCCCATGATCTGTGAGGCATTTGAGTGATTTATGCTCTCCTTGAAAACAAGATAACCACAATGCATCCTTCTGGGACCTCGGGACTTCTATCACTTGCTGTGTTATCTCTGTCTACGACTCTTCTTGAAGTCCGTACTAAAGGAACTGGCTACAAGAGCTGCGTATCGGCGCCAGAGCCCAAAACACCAGAAGCCTTTGATTGAAGTAATGTATTGGCTGATTAGAGCTTCACAAATAAGAACAGGTGCTGGCATGATTAGTCAGCTGACAAAAATGTTAACACTAACCATTTAGACGGTTACTGTTTAAACTTTGACAAGCAGAAAAGCCAAATGGCATCTCAATTTAACCCTATGATGTCCAAGCCCTGAATTGGATTCCTGTGAGCAATCTTTGTCTAACGTACAACATTCCCTACATTACGTCCCTCTAGTTTTTCCACTTCCTTGTACATTCCCCCACTTCCCTCCAAACAGTTTCAGCAATCTCCCTCCAAGAATTTAACGACATTTGCGCATCATACTGATGCTATGATTATTACCTTTGTATTGATTGTTATTCTCTCCCTGATACATTTAAAAACTACAAAAAAAAGCAGAAATGCACATGAGGAATCGACTGTGCTGAACAGCCCACTCACAATAGTGGTGAGCTGCATAGAGCAGACCAGTAGTTACATTTCTAGGGAGGTGCACATCAGATTATCATAATTATAAATGTCTGGGGTGAGAAACTGCAAAACAAATGGAAATGTACTGAGGATTTTGCACTCACACCAAGCTATGTCAGGGTGTAATGGGTTCATTGATCCACCTTTGCACCTACAGAGAAAATGTGTTTTTCTACTGCTTTTTTTCTACAATCTAACAGATAAAGTTGTATTTACATAACACCAAATCACAAAGACACTCAAATAAAACAGAGTAAACCCCAACATTTTGGTGACCACGGGAAGGTAAAACTCCCTTTTAATAGGAAGAACCTTACACCAGAAGCAGGCTTAAGGACGGGCAATCATCTGCCCTGACTGGTTGGGGCTTTTATCATTTTGGGTGGCTACGTTTCTCTCTGAGTATATTAGGTGTATATAGTTGTTTTTGGTTAGAACAGCAAAGAGGCTTAAGCCAATTACTCTCCAGTTTAAATGGTCAGCTGCCGACTCTGAACCTAAGTCCAACCACCTTGGGTTTTGTATCCAAACCTAGCTTACGAAACTCAATTACATGTGACCCAACAGTTTAACCTGACCTTCAACACATTGGGTGTGGTGTCCAACCCTAACCAACAATGGCATTTAAAGCTAACCCAACAGCTTGACCTAACCCTAACTTCTTGTTTTAAGTGTCTATCTATAACCAATGTTGGGTGTAGTGCCTAACTCAAACACCGCCTCATTTCAAACTGACCTTGCCCCGACCCTGGCAGATCTATGGTTTTAAGCTCTTAAATGCTGTTTAGGGAGCTCAAGAAGGCTGAAATATTCTAACATGATTAAACAAATAAACAAACTATCAAAGCTTTTCATTAAAAAGGCATTTGGTGGTTCTCCAGAACAGATGGGAAGTGATTATAGTTAAGATAGCTAAGGAATTCTTGCTATCATAGGGAAACAGTTAACTTTTCTTTTTTTTTTTTAAATTCCTATTTGATAGATTTCACCCATTTTCAAGCAATAAAACTCAAACATCCAGGTCTAAGGTCCTGAAATGTGACAATTCTATGGTTTGTTTGGCATTTTGGGTTCGGGACACACCAACTGTGAAAAATCTTGGCCAACATCAACATGGACCTTATTTTTATTTGTTTTCTTATTTGTTACCCTCTCTGGAAACAAAAGCTATTCTTCACGAAAGTACATGGTGTGTTTGAAATTCTTCCAGCGATGTTCCACACAGAACATTTAACTAGTAGAGAAACAGACCGATATCAGTCTACGATTGAATGGAGTCAAGTTGGTATTCATATATTCTGCCAAGCAAAATGTGTTTGATGCCTTAGCTGAACCTATTTCAGGAGGGAAGTGAGATGGGTCGTCTTGTTAGTAGAGTAGTATTCCCAGAGTATTTTAGTTTATTTATTTGGATTTATTGAATAAAATATTGATATTTGGTGTCCCTCTATCAATTCAATATTGAGACACTGTGCTGAATCGATTTTCCACCCATTCCTAGAGTTATACCCACAATTTATGCGACAAAGAAAGCTATCAGCCACTGACATCAGTAAACTGTGCTTGATGATGAGCTGATATCATTTAACAGTTATCTGATGTATGAGTGTATCCCCATCTTTGATAGTAAAACTTAGCATCTCTGAGTTTTAAGAACTCATTTTACACAGAACTGTAGACGAGAGCCTACTTGTCCAATCTTTCAGGACTGATCTATTATTTTTGGCGACAGGAAGACGAGAGAAGCTGTGAATTTTTTTTTCTTCACAGCTTTGTACTCGCCTAACCTAACAGAGAGTGCCAGGTCTAATCTATTTAAGGTTCCAGTCAGAGTCGACTTCAAACTAAGCAGCATATTGTCTCAGAAGTCACCGGCGTGGGTGAATTTTATAAAAAAGGATGGCCAAAAAGTCGAGAGTAAACTTTTCAACACCTTCCAGAGTGACACATCATCTAAAACAGTGAGCTGGCTTGATGTTCAGATGTTCTCCCAACTGTAGTTTAAATGCCTGAGAGACTGACTGAACAAATCAGGAATGACACATTTCAAAAAACAGCAGGGACATCTAGAGACTGCTTCACCTGCTGGCTGTGATGCCTCCTCTCCATTCCTGAGGACATGAACCCAATGAAAGTTACACCTCAGTCGCTTCTTTGCTGCAGTCACCAGGAAACATATGCACACAGTTCTGTGCTTTGCAAATCACATGAATATAGCACAGCTTTGCATGACCGACCATTCAAAATAAATGCTGAAATAAGCTGTTCTACTCCCTCTCCCTTTAAACGCCAAATTCCCTCTGAATTGCTGCTTCTCGCAAACAGAAGGTTTGATCCACAGTCAGTAAAAAAGACCAATGTAGCCACTTTGAAGTCACCCAGTGGTGTTCAATTTGCAAGTTTCAAGCCTCAATGTTGGCGTTTTGGTTACTGCCATCATAATTATAAAGGCACCAACAGCACAAATGGGTTCAAACAACCCACTTCAGTGATTTTATTTTGTGGCAGTGAGGCTGAGCATACACCTTTGAGGGGTACGACTTAAGGGGTCCACTATGCTCGCCCTTGCGACCAGCGGCACATGGCATAAGTGGCATCACATCTGCTGGCACAAGCCACGTTTTGGCATCGTTTTAGCCAGTTGTGCACCTCTCCATTTTTGTAACCTTGAAAGTTTTGCTCTATAGAAGAGCTATATGGCAAGCATAAGTGCACTTGGTTGTCTATTAATCTCACTGTCACTGTGTGATGTAACTAGTGGCCTTTAAGAGTGTGAAAACTCTCCATGGTCCCTGGCAAATATGTAAACCACAACACTATTTATTTTTACTGTAAAGTTGGATATTTTAACATGGGGGTCTATGAAGCCAGCATCAAGTGCCCATTGAAGCAAATGCAGCTTGTAGGGCTTCCGATTGGTGGAGGGTGGGGCAGGAGGTGCTCATCCCAGAGAAGCCCATATTAGGGATAGTATCTCTCAGTGATGTCATAAAGAGCCAAGAGTAGAAAAAAAAATGAGGGTTTCAACCTCTGCCAAGCCTGGGATTTTGACTTGAAACGTTCTGGATCTTTAATAGGATCACCAGCCATTACAGCCATACACATATGTGACAGAAAACCATTTGCTGTCTAATCTAGCTGATTGGACTGGACTGTCCAACCACAGCCAGGTTACAGTGAAGAAGAGGACAGATACAAGGGGAGGGGAATGATGTGTGGAGGGGGGTCTACTCACAGTCAAGGTGCTTCTTCTTCGGTCCGCTCACTTCATGCGTGGTGGCTTTGCACACAGCCTTGCTGATAGCCGACCCGGTCATGCTGTGCTGAGCTGCTGTGATCCGATCCGTGATAGATTGGCCCGACATCGCACCGACTTTTTTCTTTTCCCCCCTTCAATCAGGGAAAATAGTACAATAACGATCCGATCAATGGATCAACTCAACGTGACTTCACTGTCAAGTGGAGGTAACAGAGAGCAGGGATCACACACACACACTCAGACACACACTGTCTTCCACACAACCTGTGCAGCAATGTCAGCTCACGACAGGTACAAGAACAATCTGTTTAACTACAATCTGAATTTAAAAATGAAACAAAAAAAATGTTCGGCAACTGTTTGTTCCGTCTATCTATTTATGCAGTAAACACAACACGAGCCAGTCTGTGTTAGCTAATGTTTCCGTTGCAGTACTCGAACCAAGAGAGAGTCCCACTGTGGAATCCGCAAACACTTGAAATTACTTTCTGGCCACAAATAAACATAGCTAACTGGCTGCTTTGTAACCCGGAGTCACCAAAAAGTCGAGTCCAACTCGGGCAGGGCAGAGGGGGAAAGTAATCCTGGTGAAATCACAGCTTGGAAAACAGTTTTAAAAAAAATAGAGTTCCTCTTCCACGTCAACTTGTTAGCTTGGACCGCAGCTCAGCTATCACTGGTCGCTTGGCGAAGCGTGCGTTAAATCGTCCCTTGGGCGTAAAAAGTCTCTCAGACAGGAGCAGCGCATTGTTTGAAGTTTACAGGAGGACGGTGTGACACTGACAGCCGGGACAGTTGCAGTTTCCCACGGTGAGAGGAGACGCGAGGAGCGGCGGTGGGGGTTAGCCGAGATGCTAGCAGGGTTAGCTAAAGCCAACCAGCCGGGCGGGCGGGTAGAGAGAAAGCGGGTTCCTGTGGTCTGTGACCGGGGAGCCGAGCCGGCGGAGCCGCTGAGTTAAAAAAAAAAAGAAACAAAAAAAACCTCCCTGACAGCTCCCTTAGCTCGCTTGTTTCCCTTCACGGTCCTCGGGCTCAGTTTGGTGCTTCCCTCCGTCTGCCGTCACCACATTACTGGCTCCCGTTGTTCTTTTTTATTTTTTTATTTTTCTTACCGACAGTTCGGTCCGGTGCCGCCGTATGGAAAGTCTCGCCAGTGGTTTCTCTTTGCGCACTCACTGACTGACTGAATGCTCGCTCCTGTGCTGGACAAAATGGCAGCGTAAAAAATCAGCTGATCTCACAACTGTGCTGCGTTCACGCATCCCCTCCTTTGGCTGGGAATCCGCATACCTACAATCCCACCTCGTTCTCGAGCGGTGGCTCTTGACGTCCAGGTTCTTCGCACAGATCTCATTTAAAGTGTTCAAGTTAAAACGCATGTTTACATGAAGAATGATAGTGCAGTAAACAGTTTCCCTGGATAGTCAAAGGAGCTTGCAAAGAAAAGCGTCTGGACTTCTTTAAGTTGCTTGAAGACGTTTCACCTCTCATCCGAGAAGCTTCTTCAGTTCTGAGGTCAAATGGTGGAGAGTCCCAGATATAAACCTAGTGGGTGTATCCCCCCACAGAGGGACAAAAGGACCCCCTGATGATCCTCTAATCACCTGAGCCAGACACTTTTCTTTGCAAGCTCCTTTGACTACGATGACCTGGATGACTGAGAACCTTCACAGACATATTTCCCTGGATAGTTTCCCCCTTGATAACAGATGGGTGGTTATAAATAAAGGAGGTTTTTTTGTCTTAAATACCTCATTTATTTAGGGGAAAGGTGTCCCAAAAATAGGCAGCTCTATAAAACACTAGAAGCCTAGAAGCACATTACATAATGCAACTGTTGTATTTGGTCATAAACTGATGTGTTTGCAACACTCAGCGTTGTGACAGCATTGCTCTGTGTTCACGAATTAACCACACAAGCACTTTTTTTTAAAACGTTATAGAAAAAATAATGTCACAGTGAGACTTTATGAAATGTAACCTCAATCACTTCATAAATGTAACAAATTCACATAATTATTTTTTTAACATTGCTGCAACGGGACCTGTTTTATGTTACTTTAATGTCATTTGAAATACTAAGTATGATTACTGCCATGCTGCCCCAACCAAACTGTAAAATAGTAAAAAAAAAATGGCCTGCATTTGTATAGTGCTTTACTCAGACCCTAGGACCCCAAAGCGCTTTACACTACATTCAGTCATCCACCCATTCACACACACATTCACACACTGGCAATGGCAAGCTACGTTGTAGCCACAGCTGCCCTGGGGCGCACTGACAGAGGCGAGGCTGCCGGACACTGGCGCCACCGGGCCCTCTGACCACCACCAGTAGGCAAACATGGGGTTAGTATCTTGCCCAAGGATACTCATTCTGTAAAGTAGACCTCAGCTAACTGGAGTTACTAGATCCATGATGCGTCATGGATCTAATCTGAATATGTGTCTAATACTGTGCAATACAGACCATCAACCACCTTCATCAGCTACAAGCTAAATGTCCATGTGATACATATACATAAAACACATCTGAAGAATCAGTCATTGAGGTGGACAGTTAGTGGATTTAACTTGGTAACCAGGCTTGCTAAAATGAGTTGATAGCTTAGCACCACTAGCTTTTGTCCAAACCTCTGGTTACTCCTGAGTCCAAGATAAAAAATGAATAAATAAATAAATAAACTGATATTGTCCAGAAACCAGTAACTGATATTACAGTGGCTAGTTCCATCTTTTATATACAGTCTGTGGTCATTCTGTACATTGACATTAAAATTACTCAAAGCCAAACCAAGCCTACTGTGACTAAGTCTATTAATATCCATAATTAATTTAGAAAATCAGGTTATTATCTCAAAATGTTGATTTAGGTAGTTCAAAAATATTGATTTACAAGCTGAACCTACTGAGGGGAAAAAAACCCTTTAAAATAAATTAAAATTTAGAGTTATTATTGAGAATATAACTGTGAATTAAAAAAAAATAACTAAAAGAAAGAGGAAACGACTTGAAATGTTGACTGATTAAGTTAAAACTGAAAGAAAATGATTTGTAACTAATAAGTCGAAAAATAAATGGAACTTGAGATTCTGCGATAACAACTCTAGTTTCTTTGTTTGTTTGTTTGTTTTGTTCGGCGAATGCAAGCCTCCATAAAAAAGGAGTTTAGTGACTTTTTTTTGTCTTGCTCATCAATGAAGGCTCGCTGAAGAGTTGCTATATTCCCCACAGTTCCTGAACGCCTCCGAAACCTATTGGCCAGGAACCAAAGGAGTGTGTGAAGCCTTTAAGGTATCACGCTTTAAATTGTAGCGGAATGTGTGCGAGAAAAACACGAAGCGTGACGTGTTTCTGCACTTTGGAGGCTTTTCTGCTGCACAGCAACAACAAACTGTCCCGGCTTCTCTGTTAAAACACTATTGTGCAAATTTAATCCAAATTTAAGGTGGTATTAAGTGATTCCTCAGACGCCGTGTCCTTGTTTGACTCCACACTATATGGAACACGGTGTACTGAAAGATCAGTGGGAACCGCGCTTGCTGCACAGCGCACCGCCCGGTGGGTAACGCACCGGATCTGAGAGCTGAATAAATCAAATATCCGGAGGCAGCTGACTGCGTTTCTCACGGAGCAGCTCGGAGGATGCAATCAGATGCAATGCTGCTGTTTCCTCTAAGCTTCAAGTGGTTCACGCTCATTACAGCTGCTTGCATGTAAGCAGCCTGTCACAATGCAATAATCCCGGGCTGAGGAGAGTGCATAAGGACGGGAGATGTGAGACATGCAGAGGGGCTCTGTTTCTTTTGAGCTTCACAGAACCAGTAGTGCTTTGCAGTATTTGTCACTCAGGTGGGAAATACTGCAAACTGACCCCAGCAGCAGCAGCAGCAGAGGGTGACTACATGGGAACAGTGGTGGGTTTCACCTCAACTTGCTTCCCTTCTCCTCTCCTGCCCATTACAGATGTGTGTGTATGAGAGAAAGAGAGAGAAACCCTCTAAGCTGTTGATGACTCCTGTCCACACAGAGACAGCCAGAGGAATTGAATGTGAAACAGAAGCTGAAACTGTGTTCCACGCACGAGTAGCTGTCAGCCTGACTTTGCTCATCTGGGTGGGAAAAATGTGCATGCTGAGGAGGAAATCAGATATGAAGCCACTGTAAATGGAAGTGGTTAGAGCTGCGTGCACACACCCCTTCCAAATATGGTTCAGTTCACAGGTTCACATGGCCTGTGTCAGACAGCAGAAGGGAGCCGGGGAAAAACAGCCTGTCTCGTGTGGCCTAACAGCTGAGAAACAGCACAGGATCGGCTTTTTGTGATTTTTAATAGATGGTTTGTTTTTTATGCTCTTGCAGCAGTTGCAGTGTTGAGCGATAAAAAATGATCAGATAATGTACAGAAGAGGGGAAAAAATGAAGGATTGATGTGCAGCAGCGCAGAGACTGGCAGCAGACATTTTCACCCATGCCTAGGAAGAGTGCAAATGTGCAGATTCTCCACCTGATGTGCGTGTAATTGAAAGCAGCACCTGGGGGGGTTCTGAGGTGAAGCCGGGGTGAACTGTGCAAACCGCAAAATCAAACCCACGCTCTCTCTTTGAGAGACAGCCGCCGATTCGCCGTGCCGCCCTCGTACCCCGGTCTCATCTCCCTCCTGACTCGGAGTGCAGCGTTGCCATCTGCAGGCAGAAGGCCTGAACTCCCTATTTCCATGGCAACTGCATGTGTGGATGCAGGGTGTCCCCCTGTAGCCCCTGGCAACAAGCTCTCAACCCGCTATCAGCAGCTGTCAATCAGGGGCCGAGCCAATGCTTTGCCCCAAGGCCAACGTGCTCGGAGAGATGGGAGTAAATCCATTACGGGGCAGCAGGGAGGGGACCGCCCTGTCAGAGACAAAGACGGACAGCAGAGCACCCCGAGGTGCTCGCGCTTCATGTGCGATGTGTAAATGGGCTACGGCGTGTCAGGTGGCATGGTTTTCAGTGTGATTACCATGCTTGGGATCGATGGCGTGCCTCGGCATCAGGCGGGGTGTGATGCATAACAGCTCTTAGGTGACTTGACCTTTACGCTTCAGTAACTGAGGCGTGTGCACGAGCAAATAGCTTCCTCCAAAGTAGATGATGAGACCAGACAGACAAGAGGAGGTACCTCGCAGCACTGAAAGCATTTTTAATGCATGATTTTTGTAAATTTTTATTATAAAATGCAGATTTTTTCTTAAATGAATACAAACTCTTACAAGAACATAAAAGGTTGCAAAATGCAAAAAGTGCAGATCATTACTTTAGAAGCGATGATGGTTATTTCAGTTGTTTTAAGGTCATGCATGAAATGAAGACGAGCTGCTGTGATGACGCTTGAACGGAGCAACTCAAAGAAGAAGAAAACGAGATGATGATGATTGTTGTGTGGTGGTCTCTGGTGCTTTGTGAGGAAGAAGGTTCGGGCAGGAGTGGAGCCGCCATGTCCCAGGACCTCTGTAGCGACTGACGCATCCAATCAGAGTTGAGCTTTAGGCTGGCTGTTAAATTCTTGGGTCCTGAAAAGAACCACAAGGTAAAAAAATCCCAATCCAAATAGATATTTATTCCCTAACAGGGACCACTCCCTTTGAGGTTTCCCACTGACATGTGCACATTACTATATTTGGGGTGGGTCGAACTCAGAGGTAGAGCATTTCATCTATTAATCGAACCGTTCGAGGTTCAATCCCTGCATGCCAAAGTATCCTTGGGCAAGATATTGAACCCCAAGTGGTTCTCTGATGTGTTCATTGGATTGTGACTGTTATACAGAAAGTGATTAAGCTTTGAGCAAACTGCTTGTTTGAATGTACAAAGCTCTTTGAGTGTTCGAGTAGAAAAGTGCCATATAAGGCTCTGACTGGATGAAATGGTATGCAAAGAAAGTGCTGCACCGAAAACCTCTTTCCGATTTCTTTGGTTGCCCGTAGTTTGCCACGTTTGTTTGCAAAAACTTGCTAACTGCTACCTGAGCGGTAATAAAACTGTGACGCAACCTGGAAAATGGAGAAACTTCACCTTCAAAGTAAAATTTATGCCATCGCGCCGCTGCCAACCTGATTCAAAGGGTGCTAGTGTCTAGGTCTGTGTGGCTCGGTCCTTATTCACTATTTCCTGCAATGCCACCATAATTGTCACACGTCCAAAGTGGCGGACAAGTTAACATCACGTGGTTAGTGGTCACTTTACTCCAAA